CTGTTGGGCTGATGTCCTGCAGTGTTTGGCTCCAACACACCTGCCTGGAAGCTTCTAGTCGAGATCAGTTTTTCCTCACACTGAATCACACATGCATGCTGAATGTGCAAATATTGGCACATGCATCCACATCCATCTCTGCTTGAAACTAAGAACAGGGAGATTGACTCTTGGTTGAACTCAGTTTTGTCATTTAACCTTATGGATTTAAGTGATTTATGGTGTCTTACTCAGAAATTAAACTAGTTGTAATTATATGTAAAGACAGTCATCAAATCTTAGCTGTTGACGTGGCTCTCGTGGCTCTGTTCTGAATTCTGGTGGCGAGTGTAGCATCCTGTAAAAGCTGCAAACAGTCGGCAACCCCTGCGGTGACCCTCGTTGCAGCCGCAGGCAGAAATCCATTAGTATCTGCGTCTGAGCAGCTGTTTAACATAGCACCTGACCCTCGACTCATTCCCCGTCACGGACTTTTAGCGTGAGCTGAAGAACATGCTTGTAGGTCTGAGCGTGTCTCTGGTGCTTCAATGAACTACACAGATCATCCTGCTAGTTTAAAAACAAATCAACAGTGCAAAATCAAATAAAGAACAACAGTAGTACAAAGTGTAGAAATGAATGAAGCAGTGAACAAACACAGATCATTCTCTGAATTCACACCTTTTAAAGGGTTATTTTTAAGGGGCTCTGTAGCACACACCATTTGATCTATAGTCACCAAAATTCATACACATATAGATCTCACCGAGCTGAACAACTTTCATGCTGACAGTCAGCACTCCACGCCACTGGAAGATGGCTATTCAAGGTTTTGTGAAAAGTTCACATTGTGTAGGAATTTTCATCCGATTGACACCAAACATGATCTCAAGACACAGAGGATGCAAAATTGTGAAGGGATTTTTGATATCTCAAACGGTTTGGCCGTGGTGAGGCAACAAATTTATGGCGAGAAATGAGAAACAAGAAATGTGTAATAATTGCTGCACACATTATCTGATTTTGATTAAACGTCAGCAGTTTGTTCGTTATATGATGCTGATCACATAGATGTGACTACTAGGCGTCAAAGGTATAGCGCCAACAACTGGCAGCAGGAAGTGTGCCATTTTTAAAATGCTTTGAAATCAGCCTATTATTTTTACTTGATTTGCTTCAAACTTCATCAGGATAATGTCAAAACTCGACAGATGTAAAACTCTGAAGGGATTACTGATATCTTAAATACTGTTGCCATGGCAATGTGTCAAACTTGAATATTATTTTCAGTTGTTTTTGAGGCACTTAACATGCTTAGAATTTCATGAAACTCGACACACACATCAGGATTAATGATAGTTAGACACTGGCAAAAGCTCAGAAATGGGCATGAAGCAGGCACTCTATAGCACCACCTTTTGTCAAAAGTCACCAAACTCTGTACATATATTGTTCTCATCAAGCCGGATAACTTCCTAATTTACAGTCATTAGCTATGACCAACAGGAAGTTGGCTATTTTGGTCTGAATGTGGATTTTTGGAAAAATTCAGGCTGTGTATTATTGAATACTCCTTATAGGTAAATCATGCAATTCACACCAAACTTTGTCTATGTGATGCCAAAACAATTAGGAACCTAAATTGTGAACGGGTTTTGGATACCTTAAATGCTGTTGCCATGGCAGTTTTTTTAATTAATAGCAAAAAAAAAAAAAAGGAAACAAGAAATGTCTTATATCTTTAAAGTGCATTGTTCAAACTCTTTAGAACTTTTACACATGGAGAACATGTCATTCTGAGGAAACATGATTAGTTTAATGATTTTTTTATAATTAGGGCAGTGACAGCAAATTAAAAAGGCACTTCAGTGGACAGATTAAGGTTGTAATGCTAAGGTTGTCCACAAGATGGAACCATATGATAAGAAATCTTTTAAGCCTGATCCTGGACTACACAGTTCACACAGTACATTAACTAATGTTAACAGATACAACTCTAAATGTTAATTAGTACATTTTGAACTTAATATTAACTAACATTATTAAATGCTGTATAATTATTGTTCATGTTAACCAATATAGTTCATGCTATCAAATGAAACCTTATTGTAAAGTGTTACCCGCTGTTTGCAGCTATATATATCAGTCATTATCACTTATTTTTGTTAATATTTTGTAAAATCCCTTTAACTACCAAAAGTCAGTCTCTCTATGAAAACAGCAGCACACGCATCAGTATTTTTCAGTGGATATGGTGTATTCTGGGATGTGTTGTGGTGTAAGTTGGCTTGTGTCTTTCTAAAACATTCATCTTGTTTATCAAATTACACAAATCATGTTTGATTATGTCAATATTTCAATAGATGGTTAAAATATGAAAAAGAACTTGATGTCCTCATGTAAGTGAACTTGCAGTCGCTCACTCTGACTAACTTTAGTGTAAATATCAAGATATAATTAATAAGTTCAAATCTCTGAGTTTGACCAGGGCAGATTCATGATGATAAACCCTTTTACAGTTAGCACTGTAGATAGCGTTGTCCATTTTTGTGTTATAATGTTTTCTTCTTTCAGAGTTTTTAGTCTTTCTCTCTTCTCTTGTGGTGGTCTTGAGGATAGACACGGATCCATCAGGGACCCTCACGCGTCTCCTGCCTCAGTGAGAATGAAAGACAGCCAGCGCGTCTGTCCGTGACTAAGTGAACATTTCTAAAAGTGTACGGTCAAGAGCAGCTCATGGTCAACATGACGTTTAAAGAGTCTCAAGAAGACAAACAAAATCACTTCGAAATGACTCCACATCCAGACAAAGGCCGAGGAAACTCTTCAGTTATTTTCCAGTTAGAGAGATGTCATGTTTTCTAGAAGTGTATTTAAAGCATGAAGCAACTATGTTTAATTTCTCTCTCTCTCTCTCTCACACACACACACACACACACACACACACACACACATACACACTCTCTCTCCTGCTATAGTGGCTCTCTGTTGCTCATCCGTGTAGAAAGCAGCATGTGTTCAGATAAGATCCGCAGCGCTCAGATAAGACGCAGATGGAGAAGCTGTGGATGAAGTGATAAGATCCTCCTTTCTCTTCTTTTCTGCCTCTCTCCCAGAAGAACACGCGGGCATCTCTCCGAACAAATGAACGCAAATACCAGGAAAAATCTGCTCTGGAGCGTCGACGGTCCGATTGGCACAGAGTGGAGATTATTCCTGCGATTGAAAGAGACGAAAGACGAGTGAGAAAGAGAACATACTAAACTGATATGAGTTTGAATCCATATGGCAGACACAGAAGTTGTTAATTAGCTTTTTTTCAGAGAGATTAGAGAGTATTTTGCACATGTTGGGTAGAGGTGCTGGATACAATGTGGTAAACACAAAAATACTGAGAAAAAAATGCCTGTAAAGTAGTGAAGGTGTTTTATTAATATCACATTCTGAAATAGAATTTGGATTACATATAATAACTTTATTCTGTAATTAATGTTTTCTCATGAACTTAAGAAACTGCAAGTGTTTATAGCGATGGACATTTTTTCTTCAGCTGAGTGATACTAATGCAGTTACGCATATTTAACAGAAACAGTCAGATAGACTCACTGACAAACAGAAGAGAGAGTTAATGATCATCATTAGTGTCCACTTAACAGACTTATTTACATCACAGATCACAGGGAGAGGAATGGAGGAATCATTCACAGCATTAAGAGAGTAATGCTGATTTCATGCTCGCTTTAATGTACTTACTTTACTTTTAGTCATTTGGCAGATGCTTTTATCCAAAACGACTTACAAATAAGAAAAAGTAATTAAAACTAAAAGCTAAAACTCTATAAATACTATATATATACACACATTTAAGAAAATAAAAGAAATTAAATAAAAATGACAAATGCATACTGGAAAGAGGAGAGATAAAAAGCGATAAAAGCTTTAATGCACTCAAATTATGAATGTCCCGATGAACTGGAGTGTAGGGAAGAAAAATGCTCAAATATAAAAGATTTTATGACACATGATTTGGTCATCATTCCCACATGTAAAATAGTTGGCATATCACCATCATCATCATCAAAAAATTAATTTTGTCCTCACAGACAACTTTTCACAAAAATAAAATGAATGAACAAAATGATTACCAAAAAAGGTGTAGGCCAAAGCCTTGTTTATTATGCCTACCCTTTATACATACAGTATATAACTGATGAAGGTCACTTTTTTCACTGAATATGATTATACAAGATAAACAAAAGCTACATTATACATTTCCCAAAATGTACATAACTCCAAACATACATGATTACAAAATTCACATTCCAGCTATTACTTCATTTTAATTAATATATACACAATTTATTGATACTGAGTAGTAAAAATATTTATCACCTTGCTTTTATACATTTTCTTAAATATGCTAAGTGAAATACATAATTTTAATTCCTTATCACAGTTATTCCATAGATAGCCCTTTGACCTTACTTTTTTAAACATACATTCTGCTTAGTTTATACTGACTTTCTCTTATTTTGAAAAACCTCTGGATACAATTTTGAAGTAAATTATTATAAACTTTGTACATTATCTGTGTTGTATAAAAATAAATAAGTGTGTGTGTGTGTGTGTGTGAGAGAGAGAGAGAGAGTGTGTGTGGGTGAGAGGGTGTGTGTGTGTGTGAGAGAGTGTGTGTGTGTGTGAGAGAGAGAGAGAGAGCAGGT